AATGTATAATTAAACATAGAGAGAATTGAAAGATATATAAATAATTCTTATGTGTTGGTATGAAATTATATGTCTAAAATTTAGGATTATGTTTGTATCTTTTCTACGTAATTGGGACTTAGGATTATGGATGATTACTTAAAAAAAATTTAAGACACCTATAAACGAAATTGTACATGAAGAATTGTCTGATGCACTTGTAGAGGAAGACTATTTTAATATACTACAATCTTTATAATTTTGAAAAAAAAATATTGAGAGAGAAACTAACTTAAAAAAGATGAGAGACTGACATGGGTAGAGAAATAATCTTTATAATTTTGGAAACAAAATATTAAGAGAGAAACTAACCTAAAAAAGAGGAGAGAGTGACATGGGTGAAGAAATACGACCACGTATTTACCATTTGCGATTCAATCTTAAATATTTTTTTATATATTTTTGTGAAGTCTAGCACTGGAGGAAGGCTACAAATCTTTATAATTTTAGAAACAAAATATTGACAGATAAACTAACCTAAAAAACAGAAGAAGAGAATAAAGTGTGGGTAGAGAAATACGACATCGTGTTTATCATTCGTAATATAATCTTGAATATTTTTTCTCCCATACCATCCCTTACAAAAGGAATAGAATATTAATGTTTTGCGCTGTTATTTTTTAGGGTATTTTTAATACATTAATGATCTATATATATATTTTTTATTTATCTAAATGCTAAGAATATAGTTTTCCTTTTTTTTTTTTTTCTGCAGTAAGTAAGAGCACAAATTATATCAACATGGATGGCTTCAAGTAGCTAGGGTTCCAAACGGTTCGGTTTGGATCGGTTTAAGAATTTTTTGGAACCAAATCAATTCTAATGGATTTATAAAATTTTAAACCAAATCGAACCATTTGACCAAAGGAACCAAACCAAACAAAATCGTGAAAAATAGATTTGGTTCGGTTCGGTTCCACGGTTCCTTTTTTTTTTTTGGTTTTGTTACAGAAATATTCATATTTTAAAATCCATATGCACAACAATAAACTAAGTTACCAACACATTTAGAACTATTAATATGTTAAGAACTTTTAATTCATTCTTCTATATCACTTATAGAACTGAAGTTAATAAATTAATAATTGCTAATAACCTAATACATTTAGAATTATTCATTCAACAATAAACAAACAACTACAATTCAAAATTTAGCCACTATAAAATAAAAAAATCTAATAAATTGATAAGACCTAAAAGAATTAAGAGTGGACCATATGATTGATAGTTGGTACAAACTTCTAAGTGATTTGAATTATAAGATTATATTATATTATATATACAGTATAATTTAATATATATAAATATATATAAAAGATAACAGTTTGGTTCGATCTAGTTCGTTCCTAAAGGATCTCAAACCATGACCAAATCGTATTTTTATGGTTTCAAAAATTTAGAACTATGACCAAACCAAACTATTAGTAAACCAAATTAAACTGTCCGGTCCGATTTTGTCCGGTTTGAATTTTGGGATTGACAGGATTTTTGTGCACCCATGCAAGCAGCCATCTGAGAAGGTTCAAGCCAGAGTGGGCCTTTAAGAGTTGGTCTTCCAGGCCCAATAAATGAGAAGTTTTACGCCCATTCACTTTCTGAGAGTCCACGTCCTACCTTAGTAGCTTCAGCCTTCAGCTGTCTCTGTCTCTGGTTTTCGAAGGAGAAGGAAGACACACATAATCGTCTGATAAAACAATTCTGTTCACCGATAACCGTTTCGTCCCCGTCTCAAGTTTTAGAGAGAGAAAAATATATTCATTTGGAGAGAGAAAGGGAGGAACTTGCGCAACACAGGTACTGACCAAAACCCTCTATCTCCTTTTTTTCGTTTGCTACATATGATTCCCTGAGATTTGCTTTATATTCATTGAACATTCTTGCGGTTTCTCCTAGTTTAGAGAAATATTAAAAGATTTTATTGTTTTTTTTTTGTTTTGTTTAGCAATGCTTCCTCTATTTGTTTATGGAGGTCCTTCAACTGGAAAAACAAGTGCAGTTCTTCAGGTATTCAAACACCTACACCGCCCTTTCGTGTATTCGAGTTGTCTTACTTGTTACAATCCTCGAATATTGTTCGAATCCATCTTGAATCAGCTCAATCTTCATCAGAAAAATGTGGGTAATGGTTATTTGAGTGCGAAACGTTGCGAAAAGCCATCTGATTTTGTCAATCTTTTGCAAGAAGCTTTGGCCAATGTCATAAATAATCTGGGGAATTCAAAGAAGGCAGTGAAACATTCACAAGCTGGTGGAAGGATGGTTTACTTGATCAACGAAACCAATCTTTCACCGTTTGGTTTCAAATAATTCATCAACCATTGGCATTGGTTGGGTCATAGTCCATGATAGAACCAGCACAATTTCAAGATCAACCATTACAATTAATCAAGAAATAGAAATATAAATACATGTCATTTACAATAAATAAAATATTTCCTTCTAATGGCGCTTGGGATTTGGAGTAAAGAATCATAACAGCCAATTTTCTCTCTTAGAAAGTGAAATGCAAGAACTCAGTCTCGCTCATATGTCACTGGCAAGCGTTGGATTGTCATCTTCAATCAGAGGTTGTGCCTTCATCGATTAGGTCCACCAGCCCCTTATGAAGAACCATCTCTCTTCATCATTGTTTCTGTCTTCTATACTTTGTTTTTCCGGTAAGTATACAATTTTTTTTTTTTTTTTTCTTCTCTGATATATTTTTTTGATTTTTCATTACTTTCTTTAAATACAAATGTGGTTTGTTTTGTCATATATATATATAGCATGCTATATGTTTGATTAAATTACATGCTGAAATTTGGATATTTATTTTCTGAATTTGTTATTATGCTGAACTACTAAACTATATATTAACAAATAAAGTAGTTTGTTAATTAATGAAGACGAAAAGCAGTAGAACAGTGTGTTCAAGAATAATTTTTCAAATTCAAACTTAAAACTCTGTCACTTACAACAATGGAGAATTATGGTAGTGTAATTACACTTTTGGCTGATATCGGAGAGTTGGAGAAAAAGTGTAAATTTTCTTGGGCATTGATGTTTGTATAAATTTGGCTAGTATTCTGGACTCATATTCCATGAAAGATTTGTGGTAAATTAAGTTGGCCTATGACAACCAAACAGAGCGTTCTTAACCTTGAAAACCCAACAGCTAATTAACTTTCTCAAGAGATCAAATGTAGAATAGAGTTTATAGATTTCTCAATTAGATACACTAGATTTTCTCTGAGGAGAGTTTAGAAAAAAGCATCAGAGAATTGCCAGGGGAGGCAACAAAAGTTTTCTGCTGATACTGTATAATTCCCAAGTTATCACAATCTAAAGAAGGATTGGAGCCCTAGCGGTCAAACATGTTTTATGTTTCAGCTTAGTATATTTTAAACTTGTACCCACTTATAATGTCACTGACAAGGGTTGTGCTCTACACTTTGTTTCTCGGTAAGTATAGAATTTCTTCATTTTTTTTTTTCTTAGATCTCATTTTTTGATCTCTATGTACTTTCTTTAAATACAAATGTGGTTTGATTTTTCACACACACACATATAGATATATATATTTCATGAAAGCATATTATATATTTGATACAATTACATGCACATGCTGGCATTTGGGTATATATTTCATGATAGCATGTTATATATTTGATATAATGACACGCTGACATTTGGATATATATTGTCTGAATTTGTTATCATGCTAAACAACTAATTATATATTAACATATAAACCAGTTTGTTGATTACTGAAGAAAGAATAGTAATAAATCAGTTTGTTCTAGAATGGTTTTTCAAATTTGAACTTAAAACTCTGTCACTTGCATCAATGGAGAATTATGGTAGTGTAATTACAATTTTTGCTGATATTGGAGAGTTGAAGAAAATGTAGAGCAACTTAAGTTTTCTTCCGTATTGATGTTTGTATAAATTTGGCTAGTATTCTGAAATCATATTTATATTCAATGAAAGATTTGTGGTAAATGAAGTTGGCCTATGACAACCAAACAGAGGAGGCCAAAAACTTGGGGAAAAAAGAAAGAAAGAAGTAAAGAACGAACTTCCAATAGAGCTATAGAGCTCCCTCATGAGATCAAGCGTAGAATCGAATTTACAGTTTTCTCAATCAGGCGTACTAGATTTTGTCAGGGTAAAGTTTAGAAAAAGAATCAGATAATTGCCAAGGGAGGTAACAAAAGGTTTCTTCTGATGCTGAATAATTCCCAACTTGTCATAATCTAAAGAAGGATTGGAGCCTTGGAGGTGAGCACAAGTGTAGTGCATTATTGTCATCTGCAACGTCTCTCTTTCTCTCTCTCTCTCAACCTTATAGATTATGGGGGATTTCATATTTATGCTACTTTGGGGGTACTTGCTTCGTTGTGGCCTTCTCAATATAGTCCTTGCCATATCATTATCAGTATCATTCCCTTATAATGTATAATATCAAAATCACCACTGATTTATTCTTACGTGTTTACTTCTTCTCTTCACGTTCTTTGGATTGTACAGTTCTTCTTACTTCACATTAAAGTCACATACAGGAGCTATGATTCACAAAAACATGTAAAAGTATGAGCAATTGCAAGGAAATGATGAGGCAGCCTATGATATATGCATTGCTGTGGCATTTTTTTTTATTATTTATTATTCCTGTTGGGGCAAAGTGGCTGCATTATAATCTAGGTGAGAAAATTGAGATTTCGTGTTAGTATAATAACTTTATCATAAGGACTTTATTTGTTCATAGTTTTCTTTGAAATTCTGAGACTCTGACTCTTATTCATTTTTGAACCATGGTGAGTGCCGCCTTTCCCAGCTTTTTCTGCCTGCAAAAATAGACTTCAGTTTTGTCCAGTGATTAATAAGCAAATTAGAAACCCCTTCAAACACTGCCTTGTATTAAGTAAAAGAAAATTAAATATGTTTCCTGATACTTTATTTATATCGTACTTACAAATACATAAATCGAACAACAAATTAAATATTAGGTAAAACTAGCACTACAAATAATCAACTCAATACATAATTGATTAAAGCTTTATATACACATACCAGTTGACAAGCCAACCAGTTGGCTATAAAGAATCAAAGTCTCAATTCATAACTAATTATTACTTTATACGCAATAAGTTTTGCCACTTGAGATAGCTGAATAATGGTTTCTCCGGAACAGGTATGCTTTTGACAAGCCAACCAATTGGCCAGGAAATGGAAGCAATTCCAGTGCATGCACCCCATTGGCCCCAATCTAACCTCTCCGTACCTGCAAACTTCTTCAGAGCTTCCACCATCACCACCTGAAGAACTATGGTAATCCCGATGATCCCTAAAAACAATTTGTTCTTGTGTATTCCCTCAAAGACATTCTTCTTCTCAAGCTTCCTTGCATTGAATTCATTGAAAACTTGGCAAAGCACAAAAGTATTGAAAATCAGGGTGTCATTTACCTTCTCAGTCACTCCGAAGATTGATTCACCCCTGAACTGTAAGATCAAGAGAACGGCTATTTGATACAGAGCTTGAGCTGATAAGTTCCTCCACATTATGTTGGTGATAAGGGGCTCCGTACGACCTACTGGTGGCTTCTCCATGAGTTCCTTCGTGGGCTGCTCTGTGGCAAGAGCAAGAGCACCCAATGTGTCCATAATCAAGTTTACCCACAACAATTGAACCGCAGTTAGAGGAACTTCGCCAGCTGAAACTGCTGCCACAAAGTTGATGAAAAGTGCAGCAATATTCACTGTAAGCTGGAACTGAATGAATTTCTGGATGTTGTTATAGACACACCTTCCCCACCTCAAAACTGTGGAGACTGAAGCGAAATTATCATCCAAAATGACAATGTCAGAACTTTGTTTGGCCACTTCAGTTCCCTGGATCCCCATTGAAAGACCTATATCCGCTTCCTTCAATGCCGGTGCATCATTTGTGCCGTCACCTGTAACTGCAACCACATGGCCTTTTTGTTTCAAGCATTGCACCATTAGAAGTTTATCGAAAGGAGTGGATCTGGCCATAACGCAGATTTTATCAACTTTCTCCATGCGCTCCTCTGGTGTGTAGTTCCGGAATTCAACGCCTTCCACCACTACGCCTTCCATTTCATGATTAGGCTTGAGTATCCCACATTCAGTGGCTATGGCTCGTGCAGTGAAAGCATTGTCGCCGGTGATCATTTTGATTTTCACTTGAGCGTACTGACAATCTTCTACAGCTTTCTTCACACCAGGTCGACATGGATCCTTGATACCTACAAGCCCCAATAGGGTCAAATCATTCTCTTTTAACTTTTGGTGTGCTTTTCCATTTTCATGCTCTTCTTCTGGAACTTCCTTGTGTGCAAAAGCGATGCATCGCAGACTGCTAGCAGCCATACCTTCAATTATTTGATCAAATTTCCTCCTATCAGTATCATCCAGAGCTTTCATGTTTCCCGAGGGATCATAGAAATGTGAGCACATTGCCAGTATCATCTCTGCAGCTCCTTTCCAGTGTACAATCATTGTGTTGTCAGCCTTCTTTCTCATTAACACACCGCTTCTTTTCTTTTCCGAATTGAAAGGTTCAACATGAAGAACAGTACAACTCTGCATCAGTTCCTCCATTTCCATATTTAATTCAAGGACAGCCCAAGAAAGAATTGCTTTCTCCGTGGGGCTACCAGAGAATTCGAATTCGATCCCTGAACGGGGCTTGTAAACGCTGCCAGTAGTGTTCAGACCAACTCCTTGGTGGAGGAATTTCAGGATGTTGGCTGCAATTGAAGTATAACTCCTTTCTTCTATAGATTCTTGGCCTAGCCAAAACTTTGTCACCTTCATCTGGTTCAATGTGAGGGTGCCCGTCTTGTCTGTACATATGACGGTGGCAGAGCCCATAGTCTCACAGGCAGGGAGCTTTCGAACCATAGCCTGATCAGCCATCATTCTCTTCATTGAATAAGCTAGAGTAAGTGTTACTGCAAGTGGCAAACCTTCAGGAATAGCGACGACTACTATTGTGACTGCAGCAGCGATAATTTTCACCACAGCATTGATCACATCATCTGTTTTAGTCTTGCTACCGTTGAACTCTGTATTTCCATTCTCATCTTGTGTGTTTCCAGTGAAGTACCGAACTAACAGCACCACAAGAACGAGGAAAGCAACAGCCAAACCAACCTTACCTATTGATGAGGTTAGCTTGTTTAGCCGAGCTTGTAATGGTGTTTGCTCATCAGAATCACGGCTGATTGTGCTCATCATCTCGCCCCATGTTGTGTTCATGCCAACTGTAGTGACAAGCATTCGAGCATACCCGTCAGCCACCTTGGTGCCAGAAAACAAGAATGGATTCTGACTGCGATTGACTTCCACATGCTCACTTTCCCCCGTCATGCTCGATTCATCCACCTGCAATGAATGCCCGTCTATGAACAATCCATCAGCAGGAATTTGATCTCCAGTCTTCAAGCAAACAATATCTCCAACAACAATTTCAAATATTGAAATCTGTTGGCGCCGCCCGCTCCTCAGAACTTCTACTTGGATGTTGTTGCTGACTTGGGACAACTTGTCGAATTGTCTATTTTGTTTGAAGTTACTTACAGCTGAGACAGTGATGACAAGAAGGACAGCCACAAATATGCTTCCGCCGTCGTACCACCCTTCTTTTAGCCCATGCTCTTTGATGCCAAAAGCAAGGGAAAGTGCAGCACAGACCAAGAGAATGAGAATGGTGGGATCTTTCAAAGCTTCCCACACAAAATGGAAGAAACCTTTTGTGGGCGGCCTGTGATACGTGTTTGTGCCAAAAGCTTCGTGTCTATGTTGAATGTCTTCAGCATCACTATGTATGCCGTTTTCTACTTCAGTTTTGAGAGTATTAGCTAGACCTTCAACCATGCCGAGTTGAACAAGATTGTCCAAATTTTTTTCCTTGACAAGCCTAGTGAGGCTTGACTGATCAATATCAGAGAAGTAAGATTGTGGCTGAACTTCGACATCAATGACAACATTTGAAAATGGAACAGGGGAGACCTTACTCTTGTTTTTCGCAACAGCTTCTATGAAGTGAGAGCAGAAGGCCCTTGAGCAATAGATGGTGGCAAAAGCCATACGCCACCTCTTTATGTTTTTGTTGGGTTTACTAAGGAGAGTGGTGGAGGGCTTTTCAAGCAACAGCTCCATGCGAGGCAAGTTTGCATGAAATAGTGCAGACATTGGTTGGGGAACAGATACTGGAATTTATATCAATGGAATAGATTGAAGATGCTACTACTGTAAATTAATTGTAGCGATACTACCTTCTACAATGAAAGATGCAAGAAATAAAATGAAAGTGAAAGAAAAAGTAAATTGTATGAAGGCCTTAATATATATTTGCTGAATCCAGTTAATTGTGGATATTTAGAAATGCCAGCAATGTCTATTTGATCTGGCAATCTGATGATAATTTTTATATAGGTGCATTGCCGCGTAAATGTGAATGCTTGAAGGATAGATTTTGAAGTGTTCACATCGTCTTGAATACACAAAATAGATGCAAAGTTAGCGAATATATGTTCCTGGTGACCTTCAATATATATATATATATATATGTTGATGGCACAAGTTTCAGGAATTTACTTAACCTGAGCAAATTTGAGTTTTAGACCCAGAGTCAAAGATGCGCGTTTGGCGAACGTACGTACTTATGTTCCTATGAGGCGGTACCTACTTGTTCCGTATTTGTGATTTTATTGGTTAGACGAAATAGATGTCGATGAAACTTGTCATCAAGATCTGAAGATGACGCTTTTAGTGATTTTCTTTTTTTTAGATGTTCCAAATTAATTATCTCAATTAAAATTTCAAAACAATATAAATGTTGGAGTAATAATTGTTGCCTTTCTTTTCTTTCTTTCTTTCTTTTTTTGTTTTTAATTTTTGTGTGATTGAAAGCTCTATCCAACTCTAGACGCGTCAGCTTGCGTGAAAGCGATGTACCGAAACATGAAATTATGTTTGGCAAGAAAGAAAAGAAGGGAAACAGCAAGCAAAAGGATTCCCATATTATGAACACATTACAGTATAGAAGGGAGACATAAACGCATAATTTCGGCGGCCGATTTTGGGTGACATGGTCGACATCCATAACTTCATCTGCGGATGTAAAAATACATAACTTGTTAGCTGTTACACACGAACACAGTGTGAGAAGAAATTCGTCAAGAAAAGGAATACTAAAAGAAGAGGTTTTCATGATATATATAATCATGAAGTTGGTCTTAATTTGTTAAAATTTCAAATTTAAAGGTTGGCACACTGTCGCGGAGATGGATGTAGTTTTATGTTTTGCATTGCCGATCGGATCGGATTGATTCCACAGCGAGATACAGAAGAGAAAATACCCGATCATCGTGAATTGGGTTTTCTTCAACTCTTTCTCTTCTGATTCCACACAAAACTATGACCAGAAGTCGAGCCGGGAAATTTATATCTTTCATGAAGGGGATAAAATTAATACTTAAAGTTTATCAAAAAAATCCACTACTCTTTTTGGTTAGAGAAAAGAAAAACTTTTTACACTAATATTCTAAGTTCTAAGTAAGATGTGGAGTCAAGATATTTAAATATTTAGATGAAGCGGAAAAAAATCATAATTTAACTCTTATCAAGAAATTTCTTGAATAGACTTCTCTTAGTGTTAATTTGAGGTCATTATAAAAAATAAAAAATAAAATTCTTTATTTATTAGTTTTTAAATATTAAATTTGATGCACAAAATAAATAAATAAACATTCGGGAAAGTCAATGTAATATTTATGAGATATATATATATATATCTATTATTTGTTTTTTTTTTTTTTTTTGATAAAGAAGGGCTTCCAGCCGAAGGTGAGAGAAGAAAGAATGAAATGGTTGTGTTATGGCGGGCCCACTTGAAAGATATTAATGTGTTAAATTAGTTTAGGTTACATTTGTATACATTAGATATATGTATATATCTGTATTGTCAGATGGAAGGAAAGAAGCAAATGGGTGCTGTCGAAAGTGGGAAAGGAGAAAGAAACTGTAATGTGGTTTGTGTGTATTTGCAAAATGTAATGATAAGGGAGAAGAAAATGGCGAGGCCATGAAGAGACTGTTTTTTGCCAAAAGTTTTTGGATTGCACGTGGGTTTATTGGCTGATATTTGCATGAGGTTGGTTAAAATTAGAGAACAGAGAGAGACGACAGTTCAAGAGGAAACTTCTTGTTTTTTAGGGTAGGAGTTTCTAATTTATGATTTTTTTTTGTACTTTTGTGAATTTATTTTTTAGTAATTGTTTAATTGCATTTTTAAATTATTTAATTACATACTTAATTAGTGAAAGTTTTTGGAAACTTCTTAAATGCCATATATGAAATTGTGACAAGGTGTTAATTGATTATATTGTGTTTAAGCATGCTTATATGAAATAAATTTGTGATTTGTATGCTTAAATTGCTAGAAAAATGTGAAATGAAAACATGAGTTGTGTATTTTAGTAATTTATTTGTAAAAGTATGTGAGAACTTTATGGTTGAATTTAAGAAATAAAGTATGAAGTATTCATGCATCCATTGGGAAACAAAAAAGGGGGAAAAAAATGTTTTAAAATAAATGAAATTATTTTTGGAAAAATATTTTCAAGGTTGTTTGCGAAAACCGGACGTCTAGGAAGAGCCTAGTGGTCCGTGTTGTTAGTGTAGTCTAGAAGGAAGTATGGTTGAGCTAACTAGGCCGGATTCGACGCCTTGGAGGTGCTTTGTGGTCATGGATAGATAGTCAACCCGCCATTCGTGACGTCTTGGAGGTGTCTTGGGTCGGATTATACTAATGGGTTAGAAGTTGAAACGGAAATAGGGAGCGACATTTACATAACATTGCACTTCATGACATTGTGGGAAATTTGTGATTGGTTGACGTTTGTTACATACTTGTTATTGGGGTTGAGAATATGTATTCCCCATGGTATGACCCTGTTCCTTTTTACCCATTCTTTGTGTCGAATTCACGAGAATATAAGAAGTCTATCTTAAACGTTTCCTACTAAGCTTATGATAACCCCATTATTTTTAACATTTTTCAGGACACGGAAAAGAAGTGGCGGATTATAATCCACCACTAGTTTAGACGAGATTGGAGGCCTATTTTATTTTGCTATCTTTTGTATTAGAATTATAATATTTTATAAATGTAATTTTAACTATTTTGTGAAACTTTAATTTAATTACTAAAATGTTATAAGTTATGGACCTTTAAATTTTATTTATATTTTATGGAATGTAACTAAAATGTACTACCTCCGTCCCTTATTAGTTGTCTATCTTTGATTTTATAACTTTTTAAGGAGACATGCCATTAATGCATTGTTCCCTTTTAAAATTACCAAATTGTCCTTTTTTAATTTAAATATATTAAAAAATTTTAAAAAGATAAAGGACAATGATGAAAATATAAACAAAAGATGTTTTGATTTTTTAAAAAGGACATGTAAAAAAAGAAAATGGACTATTATTAATAAGGGACGGAGGGAGTATTTCTTATTTGAATGAGATGGAGGAACAAGACTTTTTCCATGAAGATCATATCAAAATTTTATATATTTTATTTTTATTATTTTGTATCTTTCTGGGTCGTTACGGCCAAACAAACCCACGAAGTGGATAGGACTTACCATTGGTTTCACAACTTCATGTGTCTATTCAATTTAAGCTAAATTGGTATAAACTTAATTTTTTATTAGAACATAGAAAGAAAAATGATCTGTTTTTCGAATTTTTTCTTTTAAAAAAAAGTTTATGGGCTCCACTTTCATAGTAGTTTTGTTACCTGATACTTTATTTTATTTTTTTCTTAATTATCTGAAATTATGTTTTATACATTTTAGAATTCCATTTTCAATTTTTTTTTTATAAAACTAATACACCATGTGTGTTGTGTCGAAAAGGCGCCCCTAAACGAGTGTATAGTAAGTGCTTCTAGATGTACACGGGAATGCATATACAAATTGATATTAAGTTATGTTACCTCTAAGATTTGGACAAATTATATATAAGTAAATCGTTTGACATTTATTACTTTGACCTCTCTAGAGAGATTTGGCGCGTGTGCTTAACGACATATTTAGTGTTTTTCTCTAAAAGATTTGTTTACCAAAGTAATAAACGTTGAATAGTTAAGTTAATCCGTGTGTATTTGGCTCACACATTAAGTTAATCCGTGTGTATTTGGCTCACAGACATGATTCTATTGAGGTTCGAACCCCTAACTTCTCTTTTTGAAAAGTAAAGAATTGATACCACTAGGCTATTGCCTTATTGGTGAGGTCAAAGTAATACCCATGTAGTTATATGATTGCTAATTAAAGTAATAACTTTTTTGTTTTTTTTTGTTTTTTTGGTGTGTTGGTTTCTTCGTGAAGGAAAAAAATAATGTTACAAAATTTTTTTTGTTATAATCATTGAATATTCATTTCTATTATGACAAACACAGCAAATCAAGGAACAAGTACAAAACACGACAGAAAAATAAACACACCATACGAAAAACAAATATTTATATGTGTGATTCGGCAAAGCCAACGTCCAAAGCGAAAATCTATCGAACTTTTTCACTATCTGTAAAATTGAAAATTACAAATTTTAGCCTCTCACTTTCAATTCTGTACAAATTTCAATATTTTTCTTCCAACCACTTTAAATCCTAAGCGCCCTCATATATCAAATTACAAGAGATTAATTAGGATTCACGTCCCATGAATAATTGGGTCATAATTTTAATTTTTGAATGAATTACGATAAATTTATGTATTCTTATTTGTGTTTGATTTGTTTATTTCTATTTAATTTCGTAACAGTCATCCATAAATTCGTGCCACATGTACCTTTTTTAGGCTTAATGGTCGTCTATGTGTCGTGTCACTATTTATTCTTCTCAGAGGATATATTATGGCATCTGAAATTGAAACTGTGAAACATTTGCGTAAGACATGCATGATGACTTCTAGTACAGTGCACTAATAACTTCAACTGAGTTTGAAAACGAGAAAGTATACAGTATTATCGAGATAACTTGATATGTGATACCCCTGGGCCCACCAATGAAAATGAAGAGAAATTAATAATAATTTCCAAGAAAAGGAATAAACTTTGTCGTTGAAAACTTGAGATATAAAAAATAATGACTAGTAATTAAAAAACTTTAGGAAGCTTCCTTAACAAGGCACCTAAAGGAGAAAACTTGAAAGACACCTTAGCTTTAGGTGGTTGCAGAATAAAAATAAAATACAAGCACTCAAATTATTTCCAGCGGGATAAAAATAAAATATAAGCACCCAAGTTATTCCCAGCGTCTCCGACGCTCTCTTAATAATTCTTTCAAATTTAAAATATAATAAGTTTCTTCAATGTTTATACCGTCCTCTTAAAATATAAGAATCTCAAAAAAAAATTCATATATAAT